CCTCAATCCGGCACTTGGGTAGATGTAATGAATTTTTCGATTCCGAACGTAGACAGAGAGTTGTGGTAGAAATTGAAGATTGTAACCGAAAATAATTTTGAAAGTAATGAGGACATTTTCCGTTCATAATTTTGTATGTCAGTATCCCAGTCTTATATTTAATTTGTTGTTCAAGAGTTAACCAATTTAATTGAGAAAAAAAGTCTGCCGATCTTGCATCATAGTTCGCGTCAAGGATACTGCACGCTGCCCGTTTCTGTAGCTTAAATAGGAAGTCAAGTTTAAGCATTACCCCACACATTATTACAATAATTTAAATGTGATAATACATAGGCATTGTAAAAATAATATTTTAATTCTATTAAGAAGATATATTTTAGATGACACGAACGAGTGAAGTTTTGTTAAATGTTTTCCCCAGTCTAAGTGATCATCTATTGTAATTCCGAGTAAGACAGCTTCGGATACATTGTCTAACTTACCAATAGACAGAGAAAGACTTTTTACTGTCGCTTACGTTTTTTATTAACATACTTTTAGTTTTCTTTGTGTTTATTACCATACCGTTATCATGACACCATTGGCTGATAATGTCTAAGTCTTTCCGAAGACAACTCTGAATGCAGCCAAGTTTTTCATCAGAATAATATATGGTAGTATCGTCGGCAAATATTTCAGAAGTAGAATTTTTTATAACAAGGGGAAGATCATTAATGAAAATAAGAAATAAAAATTTTATTTTTTTATGTATTGTTTTGAAATTACCAAGACAGACTTTTTGGGTACGGTTTGATAAATACGATTTAATTAAATATAACAAATAAGGGTGAAATTTATATAAAGTAAGTTTATCAAGAAGGAGCTGGTGGTCTATAAGATCGAAAGCCTTCCTAAAATCCAGGTAGACAACACCTGTCAATTTACCTTGGTCTAAAGCTTCAAGCCAATTATCTGTGATTTTAACTAGTGAACAAGAATGGTTCTCTCTAAAACCCGACTGGTTTACATAAAATAAATTGAAATTTTCGAAGAAAGACTTATTGTTGGTTGATATATGTTGATATGAGATTTTAGAAATGGTAGGTAAAATGGAAATTGGTCTGTAATTTGAAATAATTTCTTTGGGACCTTTTTATGAAGGACTATTTTAACTATCTGGAAAAATACAATTAGTTAGACATAAATTTGTAATATGAGTAAGTGAACCTGAAATCACCTCAGCTGACGTTTTTAAAATTTTTGGGCCTAGACTGCCTAAACCCGCAGCCTTTTTGGGTTCAAGGTTTTTGAGATATCTTATTACTTCTAAGACTGTGATAAGGGGTAAATTGAATAAGAAACCATGAGGAACTTTGTCATTGATGTAATTTTGAATGATATTTGGTTGTTGGAGAGGTTTATATGGAAGTTTTATAGTGTCTGTAATATTGGTAAAATGTTCATTCAAAATTACATAATTATAAAACATAGATCTTGACTGTAACAAATAATATTCAGTTTTAGGTCTAATACTGAAATGATCCAAAATATGACTACTAAACTTGTTCAATAGATTACGTCATGACGTCAAGGACTACGTTAAAGGAATAAGAGTTAACTCCCATGTACTGGAAAGCAGACAACAAATAAAACGGGTGTCTATAAAACTAAGACCCAAGGACTATAAAACTAAGACCCAACTATAAAACTAAGACCCATAGGACTATAAAACTAAGACCCAATTATAAAACTAAGACCCATAGGGCTATAAAACTAAGACCCAACTAGAAAACTTAGACCCATAGGGCTATAAAACTAAGACCCAACTAGAAAACTAAGACCCATAGGACTATAAAACTAAGACCCAAAATTTGGATTTTTTAGACAAGTTTTAAATAAGTTATAATTTAGAGTAAATGAAACTGTTCCTTTCAAAACCTGAAATGAAATGGAGTTTTACGTCCAGCTTTTTGGCACCTGTATGGGCTAATGAGGACGGGCAAACGCCATGCAGTGTGCAATGATGGGAATTTTGCCAGGGCAATGGCATTAGCCTACTCTTATTTTCGATTTCCAACTGTCGAGGGATCTTTATCGTGCACAGCTAATAGTACACGGGGCCTCGGTTTATGGCCTCATCCGAACGACTAGACGCTTTTTCCATGTCAGCCTCTCCGACCTGCATCACTGAAAGGGGGTAAACCGGGTTGAAAAATCCTAATGTATAATCTCGACCCGGCACGTGCCTGAGACGTGAGTTTGGACAATTTCAATCTCATGTTATGTAATAAGGCTACAAATTGCTATTATATGTAACAGAGTGACATAATAATGTCCCTTTAAACTAAGCTTTAGACCTTCACTTTAACTAGTGAATATCACTCATCATGCAGATGTCATTGTCTTTGATCTTGTTCTACTATGTTGTTATTAGCCTGAATAAGTTGCTAAATATAGTATCATGACCTATGACCTCTGGTGCAGGAGGTGTGATATGACAGAATTAAGCAGACATTGAAGAGTAAGGGTCTTAGGTAAACCAGCACTGCTGAGCCATTGTTCCTTAGTACTATAGCTTTGTTTTCTTGATTTGCTCTGTATCTGCTTACTGATTGTGTAATAAAGTGTATCTTATTTAATATGGAACTATTTCTGTGACCAGTACACACGACGACAACGTACTCGGTCACAATTGGCGTCGCCGATAGGATAACTTACAGGATTTTCGGATAGAATTTTGTGTTTAAAGCTACTGGATTTTGGATATTGATTTGGAACATTTTTCTGTGTGATTCAACATTAAAGACAGGACATTCAACATTCATTGAAAGAAGAAAAAACGGTGAGAACGTTCTAGTATTTTTGTATCATATAATTGATTTTGGAACTATTTTCAACTTTAAAATTATGACAATTTCTGGCAACTATGAGTTTATCAAAATTAAACAAGTTTTTAGAAAAACCCTTACCAATCAGAGCTAGTGAAAACCAAATCAGTGTTCCGATTTTATTAAGTGACAGTAAAGGCAGATATTTGAAAACACATTTTAAAAGAAACAGATCAGGCTAAGAAATCAAATTTATTTTCTTTGTGGAATGAAAATTGTGATAATGCTTTTGAAACACTTAAACAAACTTTGACGAGTGCACCTATTTTAGGATTTGCTGATTTTTCCGAACCTTTTCAAGTTGAAATTGATGCTAGTCATGAAGGACTAGGAGCCGTACTTTCACAAATTCAAAACGGTCAACTTAGAGTTATTTCGTACGCAAGTAGAGCGTTACGTGGATCTGAAAAGAACATGGAGAATTATAGTTCCAGGAAACTTAAAATGTTAGGACTCAAGTGGGCTCTATGCGAAAAATTCAGGGATTATTTGTTAGGTCGTAAATTTGTAGTATTTTCTGATAATAACCCTCTGTGTCACCTAATGTCAGCTAAGTTGAGTGCTGTAGAACAAAGATGGATGTCTGATTTGGCTGTCTTCGATTTTGAAATGAAGTATAAAACTGGAAAGACCAACAGTAACGCCGATGCACTATTAAGGAAACCCAGAGACGTCGAAACTAATCATTTATCTGTAGATATTAAACCCAAAATAGAACAAGTAACAAAATCAACTTTCATACCAGATGTTTTACAACAAGAGATAATATTTCCGACACCTATCTACAGTGAAAGTTTAGAAATGCTTCCGTCATATTCTAAAGAAAATTTACAGTATTTACAAAATAATGATACCACTATCAAAACATTCCGATCGTTTTGGGATAAAGGTAAATCTCCATCAAAAAGTCAACGTAAAACACTATCAAAACCTGTTCTGACACTTTTCAGACAATCGAAAAGACTCTATTTAAAGAATGCTCTACTTTTTAGAAAAATTGTTGATCCATATACTGGAGAGATTGAACTGTTTTTATTACCTGATGAACTTAAAGACACTGTTTTACAGAGTTTGCATGATAATTCCGGTCATCAAGGGATTGAGAGAACTTTTAATTCTATAAGATCTAGATGTTATTGGCCTGGAATGTGGAAAGACATTCAAAAGAAGTGCAAAAATTGTGTTAGATGTGCTGTTTCCAAACCAAATACCAAAGTACATATCACCATGAAAAATTTGTTAGCTTCGAAACCGTTAGAAGTAGTTGCCATTGATTACACGTTGTTAGATAAGGCATCTAATGGAATGGAAAATGTGTTAGTCATCACGGATGTATTTTCGAAATTTGCCATGGCAATAGCTACTAAAGATCAGAAAGCCAGTACAACTGCAAAAGTGTTTGTTAAGGAATGGTTTGTCAAGTATGGTGTACCAAAACGTCTGCACTCCGACCAAGGTCGAAATTTTGAATCGGAAATAATTAAACATCTTTGCGCTATTTATAGTATTAAGAAAAGTCGCACCATCCCTTATCACCCACAGGGTAATGGACAAACTGAAAGGTTTAATAGAACCTTACATTATCTCTTACGAACATTATCGCCAGGATACTCCATATTTTCTACTATTTGGACGGAATCCTGTACTGCCAATAGACATTTTATTGGGTAAAACTTCAAATGATCAATATAGTGAATCATGGGTGGTAGAACATCAAAAACGTCTCCAATTTGCATATGAGAAAGCTTACGAGTCATTGTTAGCAGCAGCTGATGAAAGGAATGACATTGATGAGAATGCTCACGATGCACCTTTGGAAGTTGGATAGCTGGTTTATTGCAAATTAAGGGGTATTCTAGGAAGAAACAAGATTCAGGATCATTGGTCCCCTGTTGTTAATTCTGTTATGGAGAGAGTTGAAGATGATAACCATGTGTATATTGTCAGCCCAGTTAATGATCATACAATAAGTAAAACTCTTCATAGATCCGAACTTAAATTATGTCCTGAACATGTTCCGATTGAACGAGAGCAACAAGAACATCCTGATCCTGTTGAAGACAACACAGTTAACGATAATCCAATACTTGACTCAAATGAAAGTGATGATGATGTAAGTGAACCAGTGAACAGTAACAATCTTAATCCAGGTGTTCATAGTGGATCCTGATAATGAAACCACCGAAGAGGAATATCCTATGATTATAGACGAACCTCCTCCTAACCCACAAATAGATACTACTGTACGAAGATCAACTCGTTCTACTCGTGGAACTCATCGTAACATTCATAAATTACCTACAAGTGCTATTAACAGTAACATTTCAGTAGATTTCTCAGAAGCTATGATTAAATTAAGTAACTCCTTAGTTGCTACAACTATTAGAGAATTGGGTACGCTATTGCAACAACAAAGTGATTAATTCGCAAATGTTTGGTACTTAAACAAAACTCTGCAATGGTTGCTTTCTACTATTGTTTGTGAATTTTCTGTATTTTTTTTTTCTTTTCTTCACATTTTTGTTTAGTTTTTAATCATACTAAATGCAGGGACGCATTTATTTCAAAGTGAGGGAGAGTGTAACAGTGTGTCATAATAATGTCCCTTTAAACTAAGCTTTAGACCTTCACTTTAACTAGTGAATATCACTCATCATGCAGATGTCATTGTCTTTGATCTTGTTCTACTATGTTGTTATTAGCCTGAATAAGTTGCTAAATATAGTATCATGACCTATGACCTCTGGTGCAGGTGGTGTGATATGACAGAATTAAGCAGACATTGAAGAGTAAGGGTCTTAGGTAAACCAGCACTGCTGAGCCATTGTTCCCTAGTACTATAGCTTTGTTTTCTTGATTTGCTCTGTATCTGCTTACTGATTGTGTAATAAAGTGTATCTTATTTAATATGGAACTATTTCTGTGACCAGTACACACGACGACAACGTACTCGGTCACATATATAATTTATTTCAACTTGCCCAAACTCGCAGATACTCATGTTGTTTACCATTTTGTATTTATCTCGATCTTCCTGGCTCTGTATGCGTGTATCTGCGCAGTGTCCGATAATTTTACCCACCCACTCTTTTTATTTTTATTTTATTGTATTTTATTATACTTATATGTGTTATTGACTCTTGTGTTTGTCTCATTTTAAGACTGAGAATGTTCGTATTACCACTCGCTCCTTTTACCTTATTTTGTCAAGTAATCTTTTAGATGTGAGTATCCATTGGTTTAACGATTTAAGAATAAAGTTTTATTACGCCCAAACCTTTGCCTATGTTTAAACGAAGAGTATATTTATGATTAGAAGTTGGAACTAGTGTTCATGGCTCACCGTCAAAATTTGAACTTCAAATCCATGTATATATCCAGAATAAACCACGATTCGTCTTTTCTCGAGACTCTGTGATATAGAAAAGACACGATAGAAAGTGAAATTCCTAGTTTGAGGTATTTTCAAGAATTACACGTTTTTTGTACATTTCTATTTCTTCTGATTGTACAATAAGTATTTAACCAGCTTGGAAAGGTGTTTTTCTGCAGCAGACAGCGAGTATCTGGTTAAAATAGATTTGTAAAGTTTTATCTGTATTCTATGATGTCTATTAAGCTTGAACTAGAAGCCAGAACTATAAAACTAAGACCCATAGGACTATAAAACTAAGACCCAACTATAAAACTAAGACCCATAGGACTATAAAACTAAGACCCAACTATAAAACTAAGACCCAACTAGAAAACTAAGGCCCATAGGACCATAAAACTAAGACCCAACATTTTTTTGGGAGAGAATATCTGAAACCTTTTGGAAGGGGAAAGCGCCAATTGCGCTGTTGCCCAGAAACAACAGTTTTAAAAAATTACTTAATTCGAATTCCTGTAGAAGATTCTATGGTGGGAGGTGTTGTTAGGTGTAAATTTCCTAGAATCCCCTAATACCCTCTCCCTTTGTGCCTCGACCCAAATTTACCATCAAGCCCCATTGTTGCTTCGCAAATTATCGAGTTCATTTCCGATAACGCATACAACTGTTGTGGCACAGCAGTAGCCTAACGACAACGTTGTTGACGTCTTCTTTTTTAAGCCCAAAATAAAGGCACGTGACGTCAAATCATGAGACTTTTTGTCGGCAAGGACGTGACGACTCCGAAACGACTTTTTACTTAAGACCTACACACACAGTATCCGGTAAGTTTAATTTATGGATATAGTATTTTAGAGATGATATAGAGATTCTTGCACACAAACACTGGAACTTAATGATTTGCCTCGAAATTTGGCCATTTACATTTCTCTTTATTTCTTTCAACTAGGTCTAGTAAAGTCTTGATGTTTTCTTTACACTGGCTGCAATAAAAAGTTGGAATGTTCTTATAATGTATGAAAATACGAAACAATGAATAATCATGATTATTTGAAATTTGAAATTTTGTGACTATATCCTTTGTATGCGTTAAAAAATTAAATGTGAGCCTAAAAGGCTTTTGTTGTCAGGGACATAATCTCCACTCACTTGTAAATCATGTAGTAGTAGTTGCCTAGCAAGATACGCCGACTTCCTTGATAAATTTTTAGAATGTGGTCTCATCGATTCGATTTTAAGAGACTTGAATATTTCAATGACTCAACAATGACGTCATGTGTATACAGTAGACTTAATTATCCTGTCCCATTTCGTCTACGCACAGCTGCGACGGAAGAATTCCTTGCGTCAGAGGCTATATCAGCAAGAAGCTCAAATTTGGATACACGAATTTTTTAGAAAGAAGATTAGCTTGTGTGTGAAATAAAAGAAAAAGTTATTTTTTTTGTTTATGTCTATTTGAATGAATGATTAATTATCCGATTTGCGCATAGTTTTAGTAGTTTTGAAGATTCAAGACTAAAAGTAACCTAAAAAATCTGCCCGTTTAAATATATTTTGGACATTTCGAAATTTCAATTCGAAACTACAAGATGTAATTTCAGATTTCTTAGAAAAGTTTGTGACTGCATTAAATGTTATAGTGGCCGATGCTTCGATTAATGTATGGGAGGGTGCATGAGCACAAACGACGCGGTATTGCGAGGGGTGCCTGTGGTTATTTCGATTAGTCAAACAAAAAGTGGAAATAGGGTTGTTGGGCCATGGTCGGTTTTCCATGTTTTTGGATGCGATTTTGATTAACGGAATTGTTTTGCTTGTACGGATTTTTACTATATAGTCACAAAATTTCATGTTGAAAAATGAAAAGATTAGTTATTGTTTCGTATCACCAAACATAATAAGAACATTTTAACTGTCTATTGTAGCCAGCTTCAAGAAAACCCTGTTTTCCAAACCGCTAATATCAAGACCAATTGTCAAGACTCATATTGACTCGTCAGTGTCGAAGCAATGGGAGAATGTCTGAGAAACCAAGTCACCACTAGTCATATATAGGCCTATCACAACACTATTTATGTCATTGTCTAGGCTACATAGTTGTAGAGTCAGTTGTGTCTTGACACGTTTCCCTTATTACACGGCAGACTCATACCTTGAAGTGCCCTCCATCGAAATTTAGGGTCTTAGTTTTATAGTTGGGTCTTAGTTTTATAGCCCTATGTGTCTTAGTTTTCTAGTTGGGTCTTAATTTTTCTAGATGGGTCTGAGTTTTATAGTCCTATGGGTCTTAGTTTTATAGTCCTATGGGTCTTAGTTTTATTGCCCTATGGGTCTTAGTTTTATAGTTCTGGCTTCCAGCTCAAGCTTAATAGACATCATAGAATACAGATAAATCTTTACAAATCTATTTTAACCAGATACTCGCTGTCTGCTGCTGAAAAAAACCTTTCCAAGCTGGTCAAATACTTATTGTACAATCTTCAGAGAAATAGAAATGTACAAAAAATGTGTAATTCTTGAAAATACCTCAAACTAGGAATTTCACTTTCTATCGTGCCTTTTCTATATCACAGAGTCTCGAGAAAAGACGAATCGTGGTTTATTCTGGATATATACATGGATTTGAAGTTCAAATTGTGACGGTGAGCCTTGAACACTAGTTTCAACTTTTAATCATAAATATACTCTTCGTTAAAACATAGGCAAAGGTTTGGGCGTTATTCTTAAATCGTTAAACCAATGGATACTCGCATCTAAAAGATTACTTGACAAAATAAGGTAAAATGAGCGAGGGGTAATACAAACATTCTCAGTCTTAAAATGAGACAAACACAATAACACATAAGTATAATTAAATTCAATAAAAAAAAAGTGTGTGGGTAAAATTATCGGACACTGCGCAGATTCACGCATACAGAGCCAGGAAGATCGAGATAAATACAAAATGGCAAACCAACATGAGTATCTGCGAGTTTGGGCAAGTTGAAGTAAATTATATAATAGCAATTTGCAGCCTTATTACATAACATGAGCTTTAAATTGTCCAAACTCACGACTTAGTTTTATAGCTGAGTCTTAGTTTTATAATTTGGTCTTAGTTTTATAGTTGAGTCTTAGGTCTTAGTTTTATAGACACCCAAATAAAACTTCGAATTAAAGTTGTCCTTTTTATAATGGCTCGTCCTAAAAACCCAATAAACTGAAAAATGTAGAAAATATAGAGAAAGCCAATCAGAATTGAAGAAAAAGACACAAAAACTAAAGGATAAAAATAGGAAAAGAAGCTTAAGGAAGCTGGACAAACATTCTTATAAATTATTTTAAGCCAAAGACAGAAATCGGAAACAACAGAAAAGAAAATTGTCTGATGAAAAAAATGAAATCCAACCTCCATTCTCTACAAAACAATCAAAATCCAGATCACTCAAGAAAATCCGAAATATTCTACCCAGAAAAGCAGAGCAACAGAGTGAAGTCATTAGTGAATTGATTAAAACATTAACCCCTAAAAGACAAAATATAGTTTTCCTTAATATCAAGCTAAAACCTGCACCAAAACTGGTAGGCAGACCTGTAGTCCTTAATACTGATAAGAAAGAATTCCTTATATATTTCCTCGAAAGGGGTGACATTTCCTATTCGTTGTCAGGAAAAAAGGACCAAGTTTATATTGGCATCATAAATAGAGAAAGACAGTAGAGGGGCAAGCGTTATTTCCTGTGGAATTTAAAGGAAATATTAGGCATGTTAAATTCTAATGATACAATTAATCTCTT